ACAAAGTTGTGAGATTGCCTCCTTTTTCCACAAAAATTACAGTGTTAACACAATGTGTCTAATGAATAGAAATTAAACCCATGTTTTTAGTGATGACGTATGATAGATTACACAAAGTAGCCTCGTCTATCAAATATTCGATAATCCAACTTTTCGAACAATGTCGGCGTTGTTCATACCTGCTTCTATGACGTCATTGGCAGTGTTGGCTACATTGCATCCCAAATAGAATAACTGAGTGAGGAAATAAAAATATATATGTATAGTGGGATTGGGTTCGATTTGGTTTTATTTTGTTTAACGTTCTATTAACAATATTTGAAAAAAAAAAAAAAAAAAAAGGGATTTGTGTGTATGTGTTTTGAAGTGGACATACTAAATGGCCCTCTGTGCCTTCTGGTGACGGTCTTTTCACGACAAAATCGTCTCTTGGTAATACGCTGGAAGTGTGCATTAACAATCAACGAGTATGTGTTGTCGATCATTTAATGCCGTCGCTGTCTTGCGATAAGACAGAGTGAAAACTAAAATACACAAACGAACCATGTGACAATTACAATGAAAGTAAATGCGGAAAATATCTGTACAACAAATCGATAGTTTACACTCGTGAAAGAATTACCACACATATAGATGAATCGTTTGCAAGTTATTATTGTCTTTTACATTGAAATCACTGATAATTACCCTATAGCATTCGCCAGTAACAGAAAATATAGGTAATATGCATCATGAGGTTGCTTGTTCGTTTTCCTGCTAGAAAGTTTTAATGTGTTTTTAATATGCAAAGCAGAGGCCGAAATATCCGGAAAGTCCGGAAATTGTAAGAATAGATCCAAAACGAGAAAAGTCCGGAAACTCAGACGACACAGGAAGTGTTTTTGGTTGCTACTGCTGGACAAGTAGGGGGCACTTGCACAAATCTTCAATTCTTGAGGGGGTTTCCCACATGAGTCGTTTCTTGCATGATCATGTAGTGGGTTACAACAGGTGAATTGTTTTCTTAATCCCCGAGCTGCACGGATGAAATAAGGTTGAAATGAGATCATCAATTTTGAGCTGGTTTGTTCGTATGGGATTGTCCTCCCCGCCACAGTTGGGTCCTATGAAGGGAATACCCAAGAAACTATAACAGAATCAATATCACGCCATTGACTTGAGTATTGGAGTGGAATAAAGTATCTGGTTTTATTCAGATTGGGCAAAGTCGACGCGATTGTGGGCGGATTGGTCGAGTGGTTAACACTCCGGCCTTCCAAGCAGGCGGCTGGGTTTCGATCTCCGAAGTCGCCGTACGCATGGAATATAAGAGAAAGTGTTTTTCTCCTGCCCACACAACTCCAGCAACCCAGGTGGAGTATAAAATGATCTGGGGTGGGTGTTGCGGTATCTGTGCTGTAGCATTCAAGCGAGATGGCACTATAAATGATATCGTTGGAAGCACGGTCCCGCTACAAACAGAACACAATACATCTCCAGCACACACACAGACATACACACATATGGAGATATTAGCCAGGTGGCATAGGACTAGTAGTTAGCGCCTGATAAGGCAGCTCCTGCGAATTCCTCAATATTGTATTGATTAATATATATATGCTAATTGTATTGACTGTATAAAATTGTATATCTATGTACTGTAAAGCGCTTTAGAGTGGCTTATGTTAGCTAGATAGGGCGCTATATCAAAGGTTGTATTTTATTATTATTATTATTATTCATAGCAATACAGTATAATAAAAACGTTACAAATTACTAAAGTTCCTTTCAACAAATAGTTAACGTATAACCACTTTTCATCTGCCTGAACACACGAGGCGGATTTGTTTCTGCAGGACCGCCAATAGCAGCGTTCAAAACTAAACACTCCTAGAAACATTGGTATATATCCAAAATCACAATCGCATTTTTGTCAGAAAATCAAAACTGAAAGTGGTCCTTGTGAAAAAACAACACTGTGCTTTTTGTCAATATAGAATGCACCATATTTCGAGATATCAATTCGAAGGAGTTAAATATATTAAATATCAAAACAGAACATCAACTGCAAATCTTAAATCGTTATCTTTTTGATAGAAAAAATGTCGAACAAACTAGCGATACTCTACAAGGAGGCACGATAGTCAAGCGGTAGAACGCCGGGCTCGTGACTGAAGGGTTGAGGGTTGGAGCCAAGGCACGGCACTGTGTTGTATCTTTGAGCAAGATACTTTACTCCGCTTGTTCCAGTCTACTCAGCTGTAAATGAGTACATGGTTGGGAAGTGCTAGAATTTTTGAATGCTAGCTGTGAGCGCCGAAATGGCAGCACCGGCTGTATGTTGGCTGGTTGCAAAGGCCCTATAACCACGGATAATTATTTGTGAACCGCTTTGAGACGACCTACGAACAAGATTGTGATAAAGCGGCATTATTATAAAAGCATTGCAGTTAAACTTTCCTATGGTAAAAAAACAGACGATCGGACCGTCTGGCGGACCTCTTCAAAGCGAGCAATGACCACCAAATGAGTGACCATTGGGTAATAGGAACTGAGTAAATAGCGAAGACCGGTATGTATAGACTTGTCTTAGTCCTTCTGTATAAGATATATTTATTCTCCAAGAGCAGATAAACAGTTTTTTATATACGTAAGGATGTAGAGGTGAAAAACTCAGTAAGTATCTAAAAATCGAACCAGTAACTAGATGCCTTGATGCCGTTAGGACTCAACACAACGATTATTTCTTTGCTTCATTTTCTCGATGAAATCACAGACCTGTGACGTCATAATGGTATATCGTGACAGAGCTGTAACGTTATAATGATATATCGTGACGGAGCTGTAGAATCGAATACCTGTGACGTTATAATCGTGTATCGTGACGGAGCTGTGACGTCATAATGGTTTATCGTGACGGAGCTGTGACGTCATAATGGTATATTGTGACGGACCTGTGACGTTATAATGGTATATCGTGACGTAGCTGTGGAATCACAGACCTGTGACGTTATAGTGGTTTATCGTGACGGAGCTGTGACCTCATAATGGTATATCGTGACGGAGCCGTGACGTTATAATGGTATATCGTGACGGAGCTGTGACGTTATAATGGTATATTGTGACGGAGCTGTGAGGTTATAATGGTATATCGTGACGGAGCTGTGACGTTATAAGTTATATCGTGACGGAATTGTGACGTTATAATTGTATATCGTGATGGAGCTGTGGAATTAAAGTTTTAAATGCCATCGGGTTGAATTAAGTGCTGGGTGCCTTTCGGCATGCTATTTGCGAGGTACATGTACACTGTAAAAGTCGGAATCGGGGTGCCTTTTGGAAGGCGGCATTTACATCATCATACCCTGTCTCTTGCACACATTTATTATCCACGTTGATGTTCGTCCTTAAATGACGTCATCTGTTAACAGGATTCTAAACAAATAAAACCAAACTGATATGCTAAATTACACTTTGACCGACATCAGGTTGGGAATTGAAATCGGTTAATATTATATAGTCACGGAACATTACTTCCGGTAATTAGTTGTGAAAGAATTTAATACAAAGTGCATGAAAGTTAATAAAGCTTGGTTTTACAAACAAACAGCTTGACAGGCACAAAGATATGCAACATAACAACTTGTATGCTATTTAAGCATTGAACTGCTTTTGTATGGTATTTATGATCTATTTGAATGACACAGCTTTGCAAGCAAACAACATAATGGGCGCTAGTGTCGTTAATTATTTTTCTCACCCTCGTTATATATTCCACCATAATGCACGCACATATGTTGATTATTTCTTAAACATATGTTAAAAAACTTAAAACTCGAAACACAAGTCGACTCGAAATGTTTTTTTTTTTTTTTTTTTTTTTTTTTGGCACTGTCTCTAGGGGGTAGGACACCCCTGGGTCGAATTATTCATCTGCGTAGCAGTATTGGTTTCCCGTGGGGTCGGTACTTCTCCTTCCGGCACTGTCACTAGGGTTAGAACACCCCTGGGAGGGGTTACTCATCTTCGTACCAGTGTTGATTTCCCGTGGGGTCGGGGTTTCTCCTTTCGGCATTGTCACTAGGGGGATATATTGGACACCCCTGGGAGGGGTTACTCTTCTGCTTAACAGTGTTGATTTCCCGTGGGGTCGGGGTTTCTCCTTCCGGCATTGTCAACAGTGAAATCGGACGTTCCTGTGTCGGGGGTACACTTATTTCCGGTACTATTTCTCCAATTCATCATCGGAAGAAAATTCCAATAAATCTGGTATGTGAAAGACACCATACGTCTTGATGAGACTATCTGTTAGGGGGCTTCCCTCTCCGTCCGTCATCGCTTAGCTTAAGCCTAACAGTCTAGCAGACGACAAGTGTTGGTTACCTACGATTCGGAACGATTTAGCGAGTCGGAAGTCAGTATTTAATGATGACAATGATATAAAAAAATGAGTTAAAAAATAATAAAAGTTTAATGGTGCACCATTTTTGATTTTTGTAATGTTTACTATTATTACTCGCAACTACGTTATCTCGGAGAAGGGGAGATAATTATTCTCAGAAACGGTACTATGCGTAGTAATATGAAGTGGTCATTGTGTGTGAAATCAGCTGACTGGTTGCACGAGAATCGTTGTATTCATAGTGTATTCATAGTCTAATGGCAGTTGTTTTCAGTTGGTAGATTCATATACAGAAAAAACATCAAGAATGTAAATATACGTAAACATTCACCGTGTGTTATGCTTTCAGCTGGTAGCGACACTTAATCAGCGATAATGACACCATAAACTATTAATGTAGAGTAATTTTAGAGAATCGTTGTGAATGATCATTTACCGAGTCATCAAGTTCAGAAAGAACACAAGGCAAGCCATTTAGACCGATGACGTAGATAATGAACGGCACTACCTACTGGTATCAATATAGTATTGATCTCCGGTGTATAGAACGTTTGTTATATTGATACAAAGGATCCTGCTACGGTGACAACTGAACATTTCATTGAAAACATCTTATCAGAAAGGATCGACAAAAGCCCGCCGATGGATGTCTCCGTTCTGCTGTTTGTGATGGCGTCGCTTCTTTGGGGTAAGTTGGTATGAACGTAAACAAAGACATTTAACTTATCACCGGGAAGTTACGGTAGTTTGTTGTTTCAGAGTTGGTTCCGGCGACATGGATCTTTTTACATCTCCTGGTTTCGTTTTTAATTAGTTTGTTTTTGGTTTTACATCTTCGCATCCTGTCTTCCTATGGCCTTAGCTATTGCTACAAGGATGCGGGTTGATGAAGTCCATGGACAAGTTATCATCGCCATCACCGTCTTACTCGCGATATGCTGTTTCGTTGTATGATATGAATCTGAAGTTTTTATTATGTTCATCTAGTGTGTCTTGTTGTCGCTATCTCCATTCTCGGTATGACGTTCCGTGATCTGATCAAGATTCACAGGACGGATGAAGTCGATGAGGACTCGCATCCTTCTGGAACACCTGGTCTCATTTTTCCTTGTCCCCACTCTAAATGTGTCCGTCTAAACGTTTCTTTTGTTGATAGTTTGCTCGATTTTGAGTTCGAAGTACTTTTTTGTTGTCCCACATACATACATGAATGGGTCATTACCTCTTCATCTGGCCCCTGTCCCTCGACCAGGCTAGTTGCATCGGTAGGTTTTGTTTTGTCTAGCATTCTTTTGGCAGCTAAGGTCATTTAGGAAGGTGCCGCCATGTGTGTTGTGTATACCTGCGTGTTTGTAATTTCCAACTTGCTTACCAGTTTAAGGAGGTTTGTAGTTTGACTTGGAGACAAAACCCGTTGCCCACCCCGCTAATAGGAACGGTAAACACATATCGCAGCCTCCCAAAATACACACACATACACCACACGCATGCATCTTGCACACAGGGGAGGCCGTCCTTAAATGACCTTAGCTGTTAATAGGACGTTAAACAAAATCAAACAAACAAACAAAAAGGAACGGTAAACACTAAAAGCAAAAGTAAGCCCTTGACGAGCAAGGCACTAGAAATCAAAAACGCTTTCTGTTAGAAGCGAAATTAAAAAGATCCCGAAACGTTGCACTGGGGGCAGCAGATAACTTATGTTTTTCAAAAGACCCTTTAGAAGGTTACAGAGAGGGGCCCCGATTCTGCACGGAGCTTCGCATGTAGTGTGACACAGCACGCCTGTTCTGTCCCCGAACAGCTCGGTAGGGGTAACGCACTTGTTTGTTCTGTGTGGGGGGCTATCAATTTCTGTGTATATTTGTTAATTTTCCTTGTTACACTCAGAGTTGTATGAAGGCGGGTGTCCAGGGAGACACGGTATAAAAGTAGAGAGTAAAAGTCACAGACGTAAGCGACACGTGTTGCCATGGAAGCCGATCAATTTTGTATCTTCGATGTCCTTTTTTGATTTTATAGAAGACACAGATGAAACCGATTCTACAGATGGAGAGGTACATAAGTCGCCACTTCGTGTCAAGAATAGGACACGGTAGGACTGTTCTTTCCCCGAACAGGCACGGGTTTGGGGTTATTAAAAATTAAAGCAAGACAACTAATGAAGCTACCTATCTAGAGATCAATTTTTTGTGATCTTTTATTGCCAATCTAATATTTATCCCATGCGTATCATGATGATAAGGTACGATGCGTGCCGATCATTTTATACAAAACAACATGAAATATAACGTTCAGATGGTAAGTTGAATAATTTAGGTCTTTAGGCGAAAAAGTTCTTACCATCTGAGGACGAATACCTAGGGAATACCCTTACCGGGACAAACCGCCAGAAACAGTTATGTTTGTTTTGGAATGAACGACCTCGCAACAACAAGGGTCAGCTGATAACGGGTGCCTAGGGAGACACAATAAGGTCATCTGATAACGGGTGCCTAGGGAGACACAACAAGGGTCATCTGATAACGGGTGCCTAGGGAGACACAACAGCAAGGGTCACATGAAACCGGGTGCCTAGGGAGACACAACCAGGGTCATCTGATAACGGGTGCCTAGGGAAACACAACAAGGGTCAGCTGATAACGGGTGCCTAGGGAGACACAACAAGGGTCATCTGATAACGGGTGCCTAGGGAGACACAATAAGGGTCATCTGATAACGGGTGCTTAGGGAGACACAACAAGGGTCATCTGATAACGGGTGCCTAGGGAGACACAACAACAAGGGTCATTTGAGAACGGGTGCCTAGGGAGACAAAACAACAAGGGTCACCTGAGAACGGGTGCATATGGAGACAAATTAACAAGGGTCATCTGAGAACGGGTGCCTAGGGAGACACAACAACAAGGGTCACATGAGTACGGGTGCTTAGGGAGACACAACGACAGGGGTCACCTGAGAACTGGTGCATATGGAGACAAAACAACAAGGGTCATCTGAGAACGGGTGCCTAGGGAGACACAAAAACAAGGGTCACATGAGAACGGGTGCCTAGGGAGACGTAGCCGGGAGGAGAAAGTATACCCCCTCGTAGAAGTTTTGGCAGATTCTGCAGGGGCCGAGCAGGTCTATTTCGGATTTCTGCGATGTTCGCTTTTAAAGGACCTGCTGTATCCCATTCTGTATCGTATAAGGCGACTATGTGGGGTCCTCCTGCAGAACCGCGGTTTTTTCTTCCGAATGGGACATGGAAGATACCAAATCGATTACCCTAGCAAACCCGTTGTCAGTTTGTGACCAGGTGGAAATGTAACGCTGGGTTCCTTTTGCATATTTTGATGAGGTAGCACTTAATATCTGGTATGGCTTTATTTTGTTTAACGTCTAATAGCAAAGGACGGTCCTTCGTGTGTGTAAGGTATGTGTGTTTGTATGCATTGGTCCTAGGAAGCCGGTTTGTTAGCTTATTTTCCTCCTTGGGTTAATAGAACGCCAAACCGAGTTAAACTTAAGATTCCATGCGGGTAAATATGTTGATTTTTATAATCACAAGCTTGACACAACACTTTGTTTATTAAAGTAACGTCACCATCTTCAATATTAGCTTTTAAAAGACAAAAGTAGCTTTCAATGAGGTGTTACATATGCAAGACCACACTTGTGTTTTTCTAACGAATTAGAAAGCACGAGTTTATTGCGCGGACGAATATATTCACGAGTGCGCGGAGCATGCCTTCACATACCTTCCGTATTTGGTAGAGAACGATACAAAAAAAATATAAACTTTGAAATATTTTGCAAATACCGGAAACTGTTTATCCCCAATACTACAGGGGACAGGCTCACTTACGCTCTTTACACCCCTGGAATATGTCAAATGGAAACGGAATGCACGACGATAGCTGTTTGGTTGGTTACGAAGATTACGAAGGAGAGACACTTGACGTCAAAGCCTATCAATGTGGACCGTTACGTGACCGCGAGATTCTTTGATGTACATCAAAGTATCGAACAAGCCTTCTTGTCTCATCAACAAGACGGCGCAGATTTAGCCTTCAATTTCCCTATGACATATTCCAGGGGTGCAGACTGACAGTGAGCGTAGTCCACGGAGAATCGAAGATGGTGTCTGGTATTAAGGAAGTAAAATACAGAATATAAAGGTGAATCATATTCGTTCGTTCCATATTGAATATTTAATTCAAAATATGTTCAACTGCATAAGGTTAATAATCTTAAGTGCTGTTTCGACAACAATGAAATTCATGTATTTGTGAAACCTTGAGTAACAGATTAAATAGTCGGTCAACTTCTAATTATGACAAAAAGGCTAGTCTTCAATTCGTAAAACATGAACGCCTACATCATGTCACGTTGACCGTTATTCAGTTGCATTGCAAATACTAAAATTTCGACAACAATAAATTCAGTAATTAGCATACAAGTATTTTTGAAGCATTGACTGACATGTTAAATAATCGGTCAGCTTTTAATTATCTTGACTATCGGTAAATTGAAATTATTGTTTACCAGACGTCATTGGTTGTCAATAGTATAACACGTGTCGTGTGTAACTGAATGAAGGCGTACCACTTTTGTATAACTGGCCTGAAGACTGTCGCGGGGGGCAATTAGTTCTGTCCCGAAAACAGGACGGGACACAACGACGTTTTCGTATTAGCAATGTAATTGTTGAATTCTAAACGGCCCATCAACACGGTTTGGTTTTATTTTGTTTAATGTCCTATCTACAGCTCATATCATTTAAGGACGCACCTCCAAGTGTGTTGTGTATACTTGCATTTGTATATGTGTACCGGAGACACTCCGGGGTATGTTGGTTTATTTGCCTCCTTGTAATAGCGCGAATCTGATGCCGACTTTACAGTGCTATATCACTGAAACACCATGCCCAAGGCACACATCTCAACATTCTTCCCGGTCACATTATACTGACAACGGGTGAACAAGTTGCCATTACCCTCGTTAATTCAGTGAATTACTGTTAAATGTACGGAATGTACCGTGTAACAATAAGTTTAATATGATATAATGTAATTGTATCGTATGTTTAACTCAACAGTATATATCATCAAAAACTGTAACATGTTTCTGTAAGGTATTAAGAATGTAAAATATGGAATGTAATGTTAGTCGGTTCAATAATAAATGATTAATTTAAAAACAAAATGTTCAACAGTATACGGTTCATATTGTTTAGTGATGTTTCGACAACAGTGAAATTCAGTAATTATCAGACACCTTGAGTGACAGATTGAATAGCCTGTCAGCTTGTACTTATGACAGTAAGGTCGATCGGCCTTTCGTTAAACATGAACGCCTATATCTACAATGTTTTCGCCCCGTTAACGTCATTTAAGCTGTTTCGACAAAAGGGAAATTCAGTAAATATCAGATATGTTTTTATGGTACCTCGACTGACAGGTTAATAGTCTGTCAGGTTGTTGACAGTACGGTCGATCTTCCTTTCGTAAAATGTATTCGTCTGTTTCTACTCAGCTTGGTCATATTGACCGACATTTAGTTGAATTGAAACAGTTATATTTCATATTTTTCGGATATTTTTTTATTTTTTTGATTGACAGTATTGTTAAGATGATGATTGCATCACCATTGTGTTCCGACAACAATACAATTCAGTAGTTATCGGCCAAGTATTGTGGAACC